CGCTATCGTGTTATCTTTTTAGCTATCTACTATTCATCTTTACTTATAATGTATGTGAATTGTGACAATATCGAAGTGTTACACACAGTATGCACCGATCACTTACAGTCCTAATGATCAATAGGAAGATTCAATTAAACATAACTAAATGACTATAACTATTATTGAAAATCAGAATTTAATACGAAAATACATTTCCATATCATTTAATAAATTAATAAATAAATAAATAATAACGTTTTCAATACTTTAGCTTCATAATGCTATACTCATTTCAGATGTGAGTTATCTTGGATATTGATGCTTTGAAAATGTTTTGCCCGCTTCTTTTGATTATTTTTTCTTTTTAGTTAAACGAATGATTATTTATTGAAAATTTACTTGTTTTTTTTTTACATGCTTCATTTGGTATCTAACTAAAATAGTTTTGTCAATGCTCAAAAATTAAAAAAAAAGATAGTTTATTAGAATGATGAAAATCTCGATTGTGTTTGCATGAATGCGGTTTGTTTTGTTTTTTCGTTATTGAATGGAATGCATGTTACCTGCCTTATATTGTAAAAAAAGCCGAAACCGAAACCCAAACCAAAAACCACTCACACACACATATATACACATTCATGTTTCTTTCAGTTACGTTAATTTAAAATTAGTTGTGTTCAGTTTTTTTTTCTTTTTTTTTCATTTTCTAAACAAAAAACAAAAAAAAAACACAATGATACTTGCACTTTATTGTATCTACCTGAAAAAATTTGTTCTTTTGACTTAGTTGAAGTTGGTACATGATAGTTAAACGAATTAAAAACTAGATTTACACAGTTGGACATTTAAAATATCCTAATAAAAAATAGACCATTGTAAAAGAATGGCAAATGTTCACTCATATAAATCATCAATTAGGTATGAAAGTAATTTCAATCCATCAAGTAATCAATTGAATGTTGAATTATTGTGTTTTTGGCGGTCCGACTTTAAACGATATGAGGTTTTGTTTGTTTGTGCGTGTATAAGAGAGAGGGGGGGATTAAGCATACATCAGAGACTTTAAATAAATAATAATTTTTAAAGAATGGTCTTCATCTGACATTTACATGGATACAATAATATAAAATATGCAGCTTATAAAATACATATTTTGTCTGAATATCATTTATTAAATAAAACTACATTTGTGTTGAAATCAAAGAATTTTGTATTTGTAATGTATTCCAATTTAAATTAATCATTAAAACAGACTAGATGGTACACGTAAACCCTCTTAAATCTTCGTCATATTCAACAGCATGATATGTGAAAATGTTTACTAACTCTTTTTCTTTAAATTAAGAATTTCACAATAAATATACATAATTTAAAAGTTGGATAATGTGTTTACAGATGATTGTGTGGTGTGTGTGTATGCTACTGATGTCGACAGATATCAGTAGTATGTGTCATCAATGAAATGTGGAATAGTTGGCGGCAGAAGGTCATGAAGATCGAAGAAAAGAGAATGATTGGTTTGGAAATGAAGGTAAAATGGAGTATGAAACGATTGACTGATATTTTGCAAATGATGTATTTTACTGTATGGTTCTCAGATTTTGCTAAGTGATTCTGAAATTTTATGTTGAAATACATTCGATTGTTCACATTTGTGTTCTTGTTCACTACAATTTGACTGGAATACGAATTATTGATATCGTGATTGGACATTCAAATTTTATCGAAACAATATATGAAGTGGTTTATTCTTGAACAATAATAACTTCTATCGAATAAGCTACAGAAGACATTTGATCAAATGGCTCTTCAGCCGCGTACGTAAAGCCAATTCAGGAAACGGACAAATAAAATGAAGTAAATAGAATGTGCTACGGTCATGAAAGTTTCTGTCATCCTTATAATTAGTTTCTAAACTAATGAGATCGCTAGGGAAATCTACTTCAGATAAAAGAACATACATATTGGCCAGGATAGTCTCCCTGTAACACGCGAATAACTGATTGCTACAGTCAAATGTGAATAATTATCCAAAGTTTGTTACCTTCAGTTGTATCTATTAGTTTATATTGTGCCTGCCAAGGCAAATACACTGGAATATTGCGAAGTAGGGTTAGTGCCCACATACTTTAGGACCTAAATAGTGACATTTTCTTTTCACGTTTCTGTTCCCAAATATTCGTATATTAAACCCACAACTAAACTGTCGTTTAAACTATTGTTAATTCCTCTAACAATCATTGTACTTTAATAGTCTACATATACTCATCAGACCGAATTTCTAATCAGGGTTCTTCTAATAGAAATTATGTGCACCGTTTTGTTTTCGTAGTTTTTAAATACTACTATTTCTATATTATAAGTAGTTTGAAATAATTAATGAATTAAATGACATAAGATTTAAATTTGGAGAAACTTTCATATGATTGATACTATGTAAGGTAATCTTTGAATTCATCCCAAACAATATTTGATCAAAATTTAAGTTTCAATTTAAGGGAACATTAATAATGAACCACTTAGTAACTTAAAATGATTTGAATTTTGACTTTCAGTTATAAATTTTGATACTCTGTTAAAAAATACAAAAATCAAAGAGACAGCTTGTTGGAATATTTGAATGGCAGTAACAGGTAGCCCTGATATTTTTCCAGGATTTATTGATATTCAGTTAACTAACTCGGATTCATAATAGTTGAGAGTAAACATACTACCAAACCATATGAAATGTTACCTAAAACTGATTTTTTAAATCGTGTTTAGTCAAACCATAAAAGTCTGTTAATCAGCAACTGATAATATTGATTATTTCAATGGTTAACATCATGAGTTAGTTGAAGCTAGACCACCATGGAAAACCTGGAGGCACTGGACGGCCACTTCGTCCTATTGTGGGACTCCTCAGCAGTGCGCATCCACGACCTCGCCCCCTGTGAGATTCGAACGCAGCACCCATTGGTTGCGCACGCGAGCACATAACAACTAGACCACTGAGTCAGTATCTGACGGTGTTAATGTCTAACTTCAACTAATCCATGGAATTAAGCGAAACATCCACCATTGTCTTCAGTGAGTTACTATCTCACAACAGATCTGGTTGAACTCCACTGGTCACTACTTCTCACTAGAACTTCAGAATATACCTCTTGAAGCCAGTCACTAGTGAGCATATGTTGAATAATATCAGATGGGTTTTGTGGATATTATTACTTTTCTATTATTTATTGCCCGTTGATTACTTCATGAAGATTGAACTATACTTACTCACTTCATAAATTTGCTGTCAATTATTCACTTTAATACAACATAGAAAGAGAAGGTCAAATATGATTTTATTTAAGACATGTATAATTTGGATATTCATGTGAACAGGCAGATTGAGTGAGTGAATATGAAAATTGATAAGATATGGATAGGAGTAGTTGTAAAACTTTACTTAGCAAATAAAGGGTGGTTTAATCTTTATAATAAGGTAAATAATGTCTGAATTTCAAATAACAATTTCCAGTACAAATGTTAGATACTCATAAGATGTATACAACTAAAAAAACATTCAAAGTTTACAGTAAATAATTAGCAAGACCGTAACTATGGGAACAGACAAAGACTAATGTAGGCATATGGAGACATAAGTGCATGCATTTAATTTATTCAATGACGTTAGAATCAAGCATGTTATGAGCAGAAACGAAGTTACATAGCGGTTTTTATCAGCCTATTGTTTTAATTCACCATATGATTATAGATTCGACTATTTTTTATTAAAATGTATATGGTTCATTACCGATGTATACAACATCATTCGAATAATTAAGAAAATATTCATAACACTAATATATGAATGAAGAATGTTCTTTTTAGTAAATTGTCTTCAGATTCTACAATAGTATATCCGTATTAGTAATCCTAAAAGTGGCCAGATTTAAGGCAAACTACATCGCTTAAAGTTATATCATGCGAATTTGGGACTATTAAATAAAACATGTCCATTAGTGACTGGTTTCAAGAGATATTTCATGGAGTTCTGGTGAGAAACAGTGACCAATGGAGTTCAACCAGGTCTTTTGTGAGATAGTACTAGAAACGGTTAAAGTTATTTCTTTTGTACATATAACTCCGGTTTTTTAAAAATACGAATGACTACTGCCTTTGCCCTTTGAAGGACTTTGAGTGTAACAGACTTTGACGAAAAATTACTGACTCAATAAATGATTGAGAAACATTGGCTTATATTGGTATTATAGTAAGTTGATTACAGTTTTTTAAGATAAATAATGTCAATTTTTCAAATGATTGACCTCCACCCATTACCTAAACCATCTATATATGTTGATATTCTTAATAAAATGGAATCATAATCATTCAAAGATTTCAACAACAATCGAGTAACATCATATTCATATGTATCACCTAATGAGTAGCATTTTTAGAAGTTTCAAAATTTATTGATCTATTTAATCTTTTCCAACGATTGATTATTATGTAACAAGTGTTAATCGTTTGAAAATTCATGGTTGTCACTACTTCTACATTGTTTCATAATACTATGGATATATTCATGCATCATACAATCTAGAATGTAACATTTTGCATGATTTCTTAAATACACTTTTTTATGCTTGGAAATAATTACATTCATATTTTTTTTAATATTATAAAACGATTAACCAATTCTAATAGTTGAGATCATGAATCATTTAAAGCTAGACCACCACAGAAAACCTGGAAGCACCGGAAGGCCGTTTTGTCCTATTGTAGGACTCCTCGGCAGAGACTCCTCTTTTAATTTACTTCATTTGGTGTGTGTAATAATAAGACTGAAAAAAAATTAAAAATACCATTGGATAATGTCTCACGTCCAAGGGTTCCAGGTTTTTCATAGTGGTCTAGCTTCAATCGACTCATGATCTCAACTATTGAAATTACTAATAATATCCACAAAAATCCCTTCTGATTAACTAATTGTCAGTAATTGATTTTCTTCTTTTATACTATAACTTTATTGATTTATAATTTAGAAAGCTTCATATCTACCTCCTCAACTAAATAGTTTTTATTGTACAATCAATTCACCATTGGTCAATAAATTATTTCAAGAAAACATTATAGAAAGTCAATCATACTTAAAAGATATGCACTGTGATACACAACGACGTATTTGTCAAACATGTTTAAAACAATCATGTTTCAGTAGTAAAACTGAAGTGTTTTCAGAGACAAATTTAAAGAAAGTTCAAAACAATTTACTTAGTAATCATGGTGAAGTCGAAACTAATCATGATTTTAATGAAGAAATATTCTATGGAAATTTATTGCGCGTTAATACTATTGAACAAAATATCAGGCAAGCTAATGGTACGTATTATTTCTACATTATTATGTTTCTGTAAACTTAGATCTTTTTCACAATATAATCATAGATAACGATGTACTAAATACTTGGGACGCGCGGAAATCTATTTCGATTTAGTATTGCGCACTCATGATCTCACCAGGTATCGGACCTAAGAGGACTTTCGTAAAACAAATAATCTTAGACTTATTAGTCAGTATCCAGTGGTTCATAATTTCAACCCCGATCAACACATTGTACAGTAGGATAATCATCTGGTATGATTAAAGATTCTTTCTTATATCTCGACATACCTGAACTTCGTCAGCTAAGAGTCACCAAAATTCGTTGAACAGCATGATATTTTGTTTAATTGGTTAGTTACTGAGGTTAATTCACTGTCTCCTTTTCTTTTCAAACTAACTTATACGGTATAGAGAGACAATTTATACTTAATCAACCGACTTCATTGCAATTTGTGAAGATTTAATTATTAGAAACACCGTTTTTTAGTAAAATATGAGTTTATTAAGAATCCTCATACATGGTATCCTATATATACTTAAATTTCCCTATTGTGCCGTTTTACAAAAAAGATAATTCACTAAATGATCATTTCATTCACAGAGATATTATTTTCAAATTATACAAACTCATATAAATGATACATGCATTAAGAAACCAACCAGTTTTCTTGGAATATATATATTTACATTGTAGTGGCTGGTCCTACGTCGAACCCATATATAGCTTATTCTAGCATCTAGACAAACCAATTTATCCATTCTTCTCAAGCTACATTTTGACCTTGTTAATTATTCGCTTATCAATCTTGTCTGTTTTTATATGAGTGTATGTGTGTGCACTTCTTATTCTATTCATCATATGTCTGTAACTTATATCTATCCGACTATAAATATTAACTAACGTTTGATTAAATTGAGTCGGCTCATACTCCTCCGCCAATCTGCTACGCTCCTCCCTCTTCGTTTCGTCTCCCTGATTGCCTGTTCAAATCACTGAATGCATGAAATATACATATTCAAAATCTATTTTCGTATTTGGCTTATTCGTTACGCAGTAACGCGAGTTAAGTTGATAATTATATGAGAGGATAGACGACATGTTCATTTCAATAACAATTATTCATCCTATCTAATTGGAGTCAAATATATCAGGCCACCAAAACACTATTTATTTGCAAAAAAGCAGATACAATTGCTTTATAACACATATTCAAAACGCAAACTTTGATTACTTGTTATTTGCCTTAAACCAAAAAAATGTAGGTAAACTGACAGACGCATATTGATACAGAAGAGTTTGTAGAAAGAAGTTTTGCAGTAAAAGAAAATGTGGCTAATGAAAAAAGCTTTTTCGACATTTTTCTAATAGAAACTAAAAAATCGCTTCCCAATTTGGTCATCAATATAAGTGACATGAGAAAATTGAAAGCGGTAAAAACAACTATTCTTTTTTAGCGCCAATTGTTATGTGACAAAAGACTACTGACTAAGAAACAATCTAATCAGTATTAGTTAAGTCTATCTAATGTATTTTATATTTCTCCAACCCTTATGTCAATGGAATAGTTGTGGAAGATATATATATGAAATAACAAATTAACTTTAGAATGATTTAGTTGAATGGTGCAGAGGAAATTAACCTTTTTGAGATCTATACTAAAACAATATCAAAGATGATTTTCTTTATTACCTAATCATTTATTCTTTCGTTATTTTTATTTGATTCAATTAACTATCCTATTTCTATCCTTTCTTTTTTCTTACAGATCCTGACTGTTGTGGTATTAAATGTTATTCCAATCCAAGTTGCCTTGATTATTTTGGTTCCCGTTGTGAGATGTATACAAGTAGACATTCGAATGCAACTGAGATATGTTTACAAGGTAAACTTATAAATATATTTTTTTACGAAAAATATATTCTAACTACTTTTAATAAGTAGTTAAATTAAATCAAAAACAAATCATCCAACGAAAATAATTTCATTTTTGATAATTTCGTTTTCAAAACTGTAAGCCTACTTACGTGAAATAATAATCATTGTTTTAGTAAATAAATGGATCATCAATGGTATTATTAATAATATGACTTTTGTTAAGGTAAAGGTTGAAGAGATAACTATAAGATGAGAGATTTTGATGTGATGTTTTCCACGTAGGAGCATAAATTTTGTTGTAAATGTGAATAGAAATCGATTAAATGTGATCAACAAAAATAGGACCAATGACATCAGAGAATTTTCAGTTGGATATATCTGGGCGTATAAAATTACTAAAGATTATATAACATTAATTAGGGATAAAATGGGTTACTTATTTTTATTTATTTTAACACATAGATATTGGTACAAGGAGGCACCAAATACATATGCGCCACACAAGTCTCATTTGATATTTGTGAAAGCTGTGGTACTGCTCGGGTGCCCAAACTGAAGCAGCTGATTTTCTTAAGGGGCCACATCCGGAGTCTTCGACCTGAAGGTCTCGTCCACAAGGCGGTGGAGCAACGTAAGGGGATGCAGACTCATGGTAGCCGGTGACAAACGATTGGTTCATACGCCATTTGTTCCTTTAGGATACTGGAGCCCATGTGCACCATTGGTTTGGGATCAGGGTTTTCCAAACCCCCTAGGTGGACTCCCCATGTCCACCAACCCGGTTAAAGCGCTGGACATTCGCTTTTCGTCCTTTCAATTTCGTAAACAACACCGCCGTCAAGAGAAGACGGTGAGTAGGACTTCCCTGACAGAGGCTATATACGCGTGACCATGTGAGAGCATTTCGAGATGGAGAGCTGACTCTCCTCACTTTCGGCCGTACCAGGGCATTCGGGGGCAAAAAAATGGGTAATTAATAGTAAACGAAAAATAAACAAATACAAAATGAACTATATGGTGATGAATAAATCGTTTTTATAAACAACTTATGTGTACATAAATCCAACCGTGTACTGTATATCATATGCCTTTCCAAGATGAAAATGTGCATATATGATTTGATGTGATCTTATAAATTATCTCAAATCCAGAGTCCAATACTGCTTGACAATGACAAACTGTCTATTATAAATTTAAAGACTGACAAACTTCTTATTGCTTATTCTATTCTAGGTAAAACACTAAAATTTACTTTAAATCCTGAATTTGACTTTACTAATGGGACTTATATATGTCATGTTCGACATCGTCCTCCGAAAACTATATACACTATTGAAACTTGGTTAACTCTTGAAATTCAAGGTTTACCAAAATTAGTATGGAGTAGTCTTCGTTTAAAATATAACATTCAATTAATGAATAACGGAAAACCTTCAAGACATAAATCAAACAAAGTGAATTATTATATTCAAACTCTGGAGCAACGATTTCTAAAACATGGTATTTTGTTGTTATGGAATGAGAATATTTATTTAGAGCATAAGACAAGTTTACCTATATGGGATGATGCAATTGTTCATAGATCTGTTGACAAAGAAATATCACTGTTTCAACTGAAGTTTTTGAAAGATTTTGGAACTGAACCTCCTCCACTTCAAAGACATAAGGAGGAGAAATACATAGTTGTGCAGGTAAGCAACTATTCTTATCTCTTTTAAGTAATCAGGTGAAATATATAGAAGTCAGCCAAATAATGTAAAATATTGAGCGGTACTGTATGATTGCAGATTGAGGCACTTCTCAGCATCAGAGATAAATTACTACAATTTCCATCGCTGATGCAGCGAACACTATGAACAATTTGGGAATAGCCGCACATGAAATAGTCTACAGTGAAGACTTAAAAAGGAGATGACGGCTGAGTGATTCGATGCACACTGCAATAAATGTCCAAATCATTTTAATGAATTTAAACATAATGTAAGCCAAGTCGTGGAAACTATCGTCTATGCACGTCAATCACATTACCGTACTGGTTATGTTAACATATAAGTTTAGACACCAAAAAGCTTTTATCAAACTAATATTTCTGTAGGTGATAGTGGATATCAAGATATGAACCAATCACATATGCATCAAACCCCAGCAGTTACATTTACATATTTCATTTAAAGTTAAGTGTTATGCTCCAAATATAAATTGACTTTTATGTTTCACTATGTTTTAGTTTGATTTTGTTAAAAGAAGATGTATGTAACGATTTTCTGTTTAGTTGAAATTCCATTACGCTATAGTTGTTTGGCTCAGTCTATCGGGGTGAAATTTTCATGGCTGTTTCCGCTTTTAAAGGGAAAGTGATTTGTCCAGTAGTTTTTTATAAGTGTATAAGTACACGACGAAAGAAAACGAAGTACACATATAAGTCTTATATAACACTGTCGTCGATTACTACACATAAGCCAACATTTATTCTGGAAATAGCATATAATGAAGAAAAGTTGAAAAATAGATTTTCAGTGATTTTCATGTGCTCACTACTGACTAACTTTGAGAGGGAATTTTCAGAGTTTTAGTAAGAGACTGTGACCAGTGAAGTCCAACCGTGTTGTGTGAGCGAGCTACCCACCGAAGACAATGAAAGATGGTCACGCGACATTTTGAACAACACCGTTGGATGCTCACTGCTGAGGAGTCCCATACTAGGACGAAACGGCCGTCCAGTGCGTCCAGATTTCCATCGGTGGTCTAACATCAATTGATTCATGATTTCAATCAATTGGTGGAATATAACTCCACTATACTAACACCGTTCCTGATGGTGTAAGGAGTGTAATGCATGTAAAATAAATGAATGGAGAACAAAGTTAGAAATATAAAATTCAAAAGTGGTTCAAATCTCAAGTATAAATAGATGGTTCATTTTTTCAAAAGAATCTCAATCGTTGCGAAGCGAAAATCCAGAAATAGATATGTTTGACTACTTATTATGAACAAGTAGTAAAATCGCATGTGCATAAAAAACTCACAATCACTGATCTTTCATTCCAAATCAGAGGTTATTTACATCATGCTAAAAGTGGCAAGCTAGTTAGGCACTGATACGCTCCCTTACTAACACATAATTACTACAGTAGGATAAGAGTGTAGGTTTCCGGGTAAGACTTTCTTAATTTTTGAGTACCAGGGTGGGACTAAAAGTAAAAGGTGACCAACTCCTATTGGATTTCAGTGGAAATATAGATGATGATATCATTAAAAGTCATTCTGGTAACAAAGGAATGAAATAAGTAATTATAATCAATCAAAGTTTTTTCATATCACTTTAATGTATTGCGCGGGAAGCTTTTAGTTGTCAAGCTTAGACCAATGTGTTGAAGATAATCACGTCGAGGATTGACAATAGACAGATATTTATACTACAAATTCAAGAAACACATATTTTATAAGCTTCTTAACCTGATTCATATAATCAGAATACACGTTTACTTCTTATAATCCAACACTGTTTTACAAGACATTCTGCCAACTATTAGCTTTTCCGGACTCCGAAGAAGTGTTAGCTGGAAAATGAAATAAATTTAGCCACTCCCTGATTATGTTATAACTGTTTCCTATTTTAAATCAATGAAATCCACCACTAAATTAATAATTTTTCTCCAGTTCTCTAAACCATTTCAGTACAGTACTTCTAATTGGGGCAATCAAACATGTCAAATCAATATAAGTCATATTCATCGTGCACAACCAATCTATGCAGAAAACACAAAAGTTTCAATAGAAACTACATCCATTCCACAGAGAACTACATCAAATGCATTCCTGTATACATTGAAAAATTCACAAAAAAAAGCAACCATTGAAATCAAATCTCGTAAGTTAATATGTGTTTCCAATGTAGTATGATTGCTTTGAAATGTTCCCATATTTAGGTGCCAGACGGTTAAAATAATATTTAACTCTATAAAAACATTGTAGCTTCTGAATGATGAATTTTCATCAGTTCTGAGGTTTAGATTAAAAAATTAGTGTATTCATCTCCAATAACCCCACTACTCAATATATTCATCTTATTTAACTGTCACTATGATTATCATAATAACAATTCGAAATATTGAATTCTCAAGAAAGACATATTATGATCCTGAAGTAAGAATTATCTTTACTGTACACTTTAAGAATAAACGTTTTAAAACATTTTCAACAAGATTGTTAATTGTAAACCTATTACAAATAAAATATTATTATCACAAAGAGTTTTGTGGAGATTTTGGTAATTTTATATTTGCATTCATGAGTCAATTGAAGCTAGACCAACATGGAAAAACCGGAAGCACTTAACGGCCGTTTCGCCATATTGTGGCACTTCTCAGCAGTGTGCATCCACGATCCCCCTCGCGAAATTCGAACCCAGGACCTATCTGTCTCGTGCACGAACGCTTAACCCTTAGACTACTGAGCCGGCCGGCATCCAACGGTGTTAATGTCTAATTTAAATTAATCCACGAAATTGAGTGACACATCCACCATTGTCATCAGTGAGTTACTATCTCACAACAGACCCGGTCGAACTCCACTCGGCACTGCTTTTCAATACAACTCCAGGATGCCAGCTCCGTGGTCTAGAGGTTAGGCTCTTGCGCACGAGACTCATAGGTCCTGGGTTTGATTCTCGCGGGGCGGGATAGCGGATTTGCACTACCACAATGGGACGAAACGGCTGTCCAGTGTTTCCAGGTTTTTAGCCATAGTGGCCTAGCTTCAGTTGGCTCGTAAATTGAACTATAAAATGAAATATTAACAATAAGGGGGGAGAAATTATTTATAACAGGAATTCATTAGAATTATATATATATATATATACAAAGGATTATCTGTATTCACTTAGGTTAAGGCAACTTTAATGAAAGCTCGATTAAATATGATAACTTTACCTTATTCTATGAGAAAGACAACACCTATTACAATCGATATCAAGATTATGCTTGTAATTTATCATCACCATGATCTATGTGTTTTAAATATTCCTATAAGTTGTTGAACAAACTTCTTAGATAAGAATAGGCTATTCAAAAATTTAGTTCTATTAAATCAGTTGTGATTGTCTAAGATTTAAGTAACAAATATATGATAAATCTATGGAAGGAAATATTCCTTTATACGTTTAATAAACATATCAAAATCGATGTTTTATTTTGTGTTAGACTAAGAGACAAATTGAGATTTAGACAAGAACATACCGACTAACTAAGAAAAAGTTTTGCCTTAAAATATGATGTTACTGCAATTTTTACATGGAAAAAATATGTAAAGAAAAATATTTACTATTGTTTTGACAGGAAGTTTGTAACACCGTTCGCCATCAAAGACAAAACACTTTCCTAATGCTTGAATTACCTTGATTAGTAATAATTATGGATTCCATTCTTGCGTATCAGCACGCTAACAGCTAGTTAGAATGTGTTTTTGATGCTTGGAGAGCCTGAAGAGCAACATACATGAGAGATGCTTGCAAAAGCGCAAAAGAAGAGTGAACCAACGAGTCAGTAAACAGATAGAATTCATTCGCATAATACAGGAAGCATAGTTAACAACAATTAATAGCAATATACGCCTTGGGATTAAGATTAGTCTGATAAGTTCAAATAATAACTTCATGGTCACATCCAACTTATATGTCCCTTCACACCTCAAACGAAATAAGCAGCTACCGTTGTTGTGGAAATAAATCTAAAGTGAAAAAGACAAATAAAAATAGTTAACCGTCTCTAAGTGAAAACATTACACACTAATTGTATGTTATAAAGTAACTACACATACATAGCCGATTCAAGTTATAGTATAATTATTTGTTGTAGCTCGAGAATTATTGAAGCAAATTTCAATCTAGCTATGATCAAGGTACACTCAGTAGATGTTATCTCTCATGAGATTTCAAGATGTCGGATTTAGTGCGTCATTTGGAAAATTTAGTGTGTTATTCAGCCGTTAGTCATATTTTTCAGAATTGTTAATATAGATAATCTCTTTTCATTCAACTTAAATATAGATATCAATCATTCCTTATTATACACTGCTGCTTGTTTAAACGGACTAACGTTTACACAATCCATACCCAATGAATTTAATGATAAAACCAATAACCCAAGTGATGGAAAATATTCCACTGAACAGATCGGTCGACTGTATCCAGAAATACAAGTATCTACTCAAAGATTGCAAACAAACTGTGATTTGAACTCAACTTGGAGAGTGACTATCACAGGTAATTGACTTTTACGAAGTTTCTTTACACTACTTAAAAGTAGTAAGTAAACTCAAGTGTTTAAAAGTTTTTTTACTAAATTTAAGCAGTTTTATTCTCAGTAAGGGTACTTGTGGTGGCTGAAATACTTTTCAACAGTTGAGTTTACTAGTCGATTTAAGCTAGTTTTATTTTATTAGCTAATGTTTCCGATTCCAATTACCCTATCATTCTGTTATTTTCATTCATCAACGTACAAGATACAGAGTATAATATGAAGTGGTATGTCAGCCTAAAATGTTCTATTTATTCCAATACTAATAGAGAAAAAGTCTATTATCTAGTAACATTCTCTACTAAATGGATTGTGCCAAAACGAATTCACAATACGGTAGGCAATCTATGTGTTTCTCAGATGGATATAGCGTTATGCATTGAGTATCAACCGTGTCTTATTCATGAGTGCTAAAGAGTTGGTAAATTAATTCAATCACAGCAGTTAATGGATTTTCATCATTCTCTTACCAGCTAATCCATCCTCAGAGGCGCATAATCACTTCATATATAGGTCTTTTGATAGATGCATTATCTAAGGGATTTCAATAGCTTTATCCATAATGTTTCAGATAACGGTAAGTTAGATCCATAAGGGGGTTAATAATATAAAAGTTTGTGAATACCGACTCTTCGATCGACACAGATTCATTATGCCGAGTCATCTACCAGATTAATAGAAACGTATCAAATGTAGTGAGCTGCGTTCTTTATTGTACTTCATATGCATAAATGATTTACTTTATTATCTTGTCCAAGGCACTTCACAACTAACTAGGGTTATCGAATATTATAGGATTCCTTAGTGATTTCTAACAACTTAACAACTGAATTTTTAGTCTGATAGTAAGCATCAGATATTTTAATGCTTTTTTACTGTACCCCTTTGTTAATGTGTTTGGATTAAGTGATAATAATATCTTTTGTATAATATGGAGTTCTCAGCATACAGTACTTCGGAAAGTTTCTCTTCATCTACGCATCAAATTAGTAAGTAAATTATGTAGAACTAAATAAAATATTTTTAAGAAGATAAGATTCTACACAAATTTTAATGAACATCACCTTCAAGAATATAATTCTCCGATTAGGTCACTGCTTAAACCTGTTCATTACATAATATATTTACTTGATACGGTGTTATAAAGCTTTTGTACTTTTGCCTGGATTCATGGATTTCAATATGTCTGCGTCTCGCTCTACTAGAAGAAAGGTGTCAATTGAATGGACAGTTAGTATCAGATAAGATAATATCTGCCAAGGCTTTGCAAGATTTCAGATGTCTATCTATAACTGTGTTCATAATGATATCTAAAGATTAACCACACAACTTAGAAAGTACCTTCAGAGCTCTTCACAACATAGCAAAATATTTTTCTCAAAATCCCAGGAAAGAATGGTGGAGAATAGTGATAAGTACTAGGTAATATACAAGAATTTACAAATCGTTAATGTATCGAGTAATACCAAATGGGAATAAATGTTTTATTGATTGCCATATCATGTATTTGTGCAGCTTTGAGAATGGATTCACTGTAAAAAAAGTCTGCTCATTGATCCATTTTTTCTTCTTTTACCTTCCACTAAAAGTCGCTATGAATACATAGTAATATAACCGCTGAACAATTTTCTTTCAACATCTCCATTTACCCTTCATCGTTACCCAAACTAATGACTCAAAATGATTTGAATAATTCGTCAGTTTTGTTATACTCATACAATAGTTTGACTAAGTAGAAAGGTATTTTTGGATTAAAATCATGAACCGATTGATGTTAAACCACCATTGAAAACCTTGAGGCATTCGACGGCCGTTTCGTCCTATTGTGGGACTCCTCAGCAGTTCGCATCCGCAATCCCGCCACCGGTTTCACGCGCGAACGCTTGACCTACTGGACCACTGAGCCCGCTCCCAGTGGTGCTTATGTCTAACTTCAACTAATACACGAAATCGCGTGACCATCTTCCATTGTACTGAGGTAGATACCTGTCTCTACCCGACACGGATTAGCTCCACTGGTCATAGAAATAAGACATTGAAATACAAAAGACATTATTCATTTTCCATATTCATATCAATTCATTTATGATTAAGCTTATAGGACCACCTGAGTTAAGTATTTCCTATGTTAATAGTAAATTATTTATGTACTTTATATCATAAAAGAATGTTTTTATATCCATTTCCGTTTGTTTTATTCTGTATGTGCACATAGTCATTATAGATATTGATGGAATAAAAGAACTGTTTGCTTTATGTCAGTTATTATTTTTTCTGTTCCCGTGATATCCATAGTTTATCAATTTAAGAAATATATATATATGTATGTTAAGCACTTCCGCTTCATTGAAATGTGTGTGACCAAACCTGAATTCCAAATCATGATAGCATACCCTTTTTTCTGCAGTTCTTATTTATGCTGATAAACACACATAATTGTAAACTTTACAAAGTAAATAGTATCAAAAACAACATGTAGATCTGTTTGTTAACTAATACTATCTGATAGAAACTACAGACTTCAGAACATAAAATATTTCCTAATCTCCAACGCGTAATAGTTGTTTAATTACTTGAAACAGAATAATAATAAAATTATAATGTCAATATAGCAACTCACATGCAATTGAGTTTGTTTTCATTTAATTCGGTTAAGCCCTTTTGTTAACTTATTTAGCGGACAAAGTCATCCCTACTATAACAACTTATTGTACCTTTATTATTGTTGTGATTGTATGAAATATGTATGCTTGAACATTGCTTACCGCCTAGGTACATATTCATTCTACTAGCTTTATTATTAGCTTCTGAATTGATTCGATGATCCATTCATTGCCCTATATATATATATATATATATATATATATATATATATGTACATTTACACTCGACACATTCTACACTCACGGTTCGCTGACTCACTCATTCGCCTCACTGCTTTGTGGTTTGAGTTATCTGCTAATAAAACTGTAACCGCTGGTTCTCTTTGACTTCTGATTCCAAACACCGTTGAGGGGTTATATGATAACGGTTACGAGGGTGATTGGTCAACGATATAAAAAATCCTAATTACTAAGTGAAAATGAAAAGGTCTCTTGCTGATTAGTGTTCAATGAATTTTTTTGCTTAATAGTGTCAATCTATATTCAAAACTATTCATGATCTGTTTAAATCTCCACATCGTTTCTAATTGATATATATATAGGGGTAGACAGAAATATATCTGTCACTGAGTCCAACATAGAATTTAATTAAATTCATAAATGATTATATTACAATTGAACATTAGACAACTTAATAATAATAATATGTAGACTACAATCTACTTTCTTGTTACTTTTTAATTGCATAGAATTAATTTACAGTTTTTTTAAAAAAAAGTAAGTGTTTAACAACAACGCATACGGTAAAACTCATTTAGTGTTGTTTTACTTATATCTTCCCATTGTTATTTAAGACTGCAATTGATCAGTTTCTGGTTGGCATATTTACATGCTGTGCGGATTGCCTCAATATAGCTTTAAGTCAAAAGCTTTTTAAGCAAAGATATAGAAGGGATCGAGTCCCAGAATGAACATCCATTATGGGATGCAGGTACATCCAGCTGATGAGTCCCAAATAGAATGAAACACAAGTCCTGGATTCCACTGCTAGCCACTATCCATCTTTACCTATACAATAATAACTATAAATAACAAATAAACTAGCCTATAAGGAAATACCATTATTTACATTTCAATAGACATGTTATTAAGTTTGTAAATGTACATGTGATCTGATAATAAGTACATTAGATCAGACATAATGTAATTTAATGAAAATTCTTCAAACTATAAAAATAGTAACAATTTAATTAATATCCAACTGCTTTATCAAATTTAAAGTAATTACTTCGATTCAATATTGTCGATGGGTTAAGTTTGGAATTTCAGTCATATTAAACTTGAAATATTTCTGGAACTTATAAATGACATTCTCATGAATCTTCAATAAAACATTTACACTATACACCATGTTCATCATGTTTAGAAACTTTTGCTTGATGCAAAGTAAAGAGTTAGCGAAACTAATAGATAAGTTATATATAGATGATATAAACAGAGATAAGTACGAGTGTGAATAAATATCAGGAAATTTACATTAAATTAATCTCATTAGTTGAGATCACGAGTCAGTTGTAGTTAGAGCAACATTGGAAACCTGATAGCACTGGATGGCCGTTTCGTCCTATTGTGGCACTCCTCAGCAGTGTGCATCCACGACCCCGTCTCGCGAGATTTGAACCCAGGACATATCAATGTCGCGCACGAACACTTAACCAATAGACCACTGAAACAGCCGGCATCCAACAGTGTTAGTGTTTAACTTCAACTAATCCGTGGAATTGAGTGACACATCCACCATTGTCATCAGTGAGTTACTATCTCACAACAGACCAGGTTGAAATCCACTGGTCACTGCTTCTTACAAGAACTTCAGGAAATACCTCTTGAAGCAAGTCATTAGTGAGCACATGCTGAATAATATCAGAAGAGGGTTTGTGAATATTATAGTAATTTCATTAGTTGAGATCACGAGTCAATTGAATTAATCGTCATATAACAAAATGGTAACTAACAGCACTCATTCAGAACTAAGTATTGGACATGACACATACCAGTTTCGACTAATTAATCAAATCATTGTATTAATTAACTATTGAAGGAGTTGTGTTCTCTGAGCTGGTTGGTTGAATTATCATGTTTTTATTATCTTTAAGTGTCTTAATTTTAAGAAGAAGTAAACTATTAGGATCTCCACAACTGATTAACAGATTATTCTGTTAACATGAAACTTGGTTGATTTTTATCCATGATCATTGTGATCGATTTCTGTAATTTTGCTTTGATTATTCATTGCACTTGTTAGTACCTTTGCTTATTGACTAATAAATATGGTCACTTTCGAAATGTCCATATATTGAAAC